ATGAAGTGCCTGTTTTATTTGATCTTCTTGGATCTTTAACATTTCAGCAGTAAGATATTTACGCAGCATATTACAGATGTTTGGTAGAATAGTATCAGCCGTTGCAGTCAGAAGTCTTGGAAATTGACGCACGAAATAAAGCATATTCTGTCTTTTTATCCTCTTCGAGAATGTATACTGATAATTTTTCTGCTAGCTCTAATAATGTTGTATTGGAGTTAAATATTAATCTTTTAATCTTTGCATTATAGCTTTCGACCCGAGAAGTTGAAGACATTCTAGCTGTGAACAATTTAAGTACGAACGCTTTTGCCCATGATTTTTTATTGGTATAAAGCATTCGTTGTAAGTAACTAATTACGTTTTTATTATTATACTTGACAAGTAGACATTTCTACCAGTATTCAAAGATTGTAATAAAGCTACTTTGTTGTACTTCGAAGAAATCTTTGATGAACTCATCATAGTGATCTTCGAGAATATTTTTTAAATTAAGGGGAAGATTCTGTGCAATATAGAATATACAATGAAGAGCATATGTTGTTGGAAATTCATCTCGTATTGCAACAATTAAAGCAGGATCCGCATCAGTGAAGATAACATGGGGAGTAGCTTCAAAAGTTGCTTTTTTAATTTGTTGCAATATCCAGGTATGTGCTTCCTTTGTCTCATCATCAGTTAAAGTCTGAGCTACCAAATGGGAAGATAAATGGTTGTCAACTACCAAAAAAAGTGACAATACCATTTCATAATGATTTGTAGCAGCAGTATTGTCATTTAAAATAATGTCTCCAAACTTCAACCATCGTTCAATTTGATCAGGAGACATATAAAACAATCGGCGAAGACATTTACTATAAAGGTCCCACTCCACTTCAACATACCATCGGGGTCAGTTTCTTTTTTTTTTACCAATTCTTCATACAAATGGCTAGCATCATTTGTTTGATCGCGTGGTTTTGAGCGAAAGCGTTGAATTACCCGATGCAGAACAGGCATGTAAACTTTTAAGAAATACTTTTCTTCCAGAGCTCTGCGAATTTGTTGGGGCTACAATTCATCTTTGTTACATAAAATTTAATATCGTTAATCATATCTATGGTAAACTCCAAGTTTTCCAGAAAGTCAAAACGCTCACGGTCAAGATTATGATTCGTGTGTTCATCAACTAATTTTGTAATGTATATGATTTTATGAGGATTATTTTTTTTAGAGTATGAAAAATTTATCTGCCATATACACCCAATGCGTTTAGAAGTGGTTTCCTTCTTTGAATCCTTGCTTTTTGTGGCCTCGGGCTTTCCATAATGTTCACAAACCAATGTATATCTCCAGATACAGTCATTGGATTTCTCAACACGATAACGTGTCTTGAAGCCTTGTTTCTTTCCATATTTTTTGATTTCGTTCATCGCATGATCCCAACTAAGGAATATCATGTTTATTCGCAACTCCTCATTTTGAGCACCATCCACTATATAACTCCATTTTTGATTTATCGTATTTTCATAATTTGCATCTTCAAAATTAATCACATTATTGTTTTTATTTCCAGGCTGACCGATCTCATATACGACATCATTGTGGATATCAAATTCAGTTTGATTATCATATAGTGCCTCGTTAATGCTGAAATTTACTTGATTATTATCATATAATGCATTGTGATTAACAGCAAGTTCATATAATATATTATTATTAACAACGAATTCTTCCATTTGTTAAACGTAGGTAAAAAGCAACAGAAAAAAAACAATCTAGCATGGGTGAGTAATGAAAAAAATTATTTATTCTAGGCAAGAGATCAGAACGCAAGTTGTTTAATTTAACGGGATCACATAGGGTAGCGCCGTAGTACTATATATGTCATTATATTATTTATTTTAATTAATTAACAAACAATTACATAAGGGTAGCGCCGTGGTACTGTGTATATTAAGATTATTTTAATTAATAACTAATTACATAAGGATAGAATTGTGACACTATAGCATTATAATAATATTCCCTTTTTTAAATAAAATAATAATTTATTAATAATATAGAATATATATTTATTATAGAATATATTTTTGAAAACATAGTTTATAAACTTTATTATAAAAATTTTTTAAAATTATTAATAAACTTTTGATTAATGAAACTTTAAAGTTTTAGTTTAAAAATTTTTATTATTAAAATTTTTTCAAGATTTTTTAAGATTTCATATGTTCCTAAAGCTAAAAAAAATTTTTGCTCTTAATACAAGTTCAAATTTTTATAAGTTGCAAAACTTATAATAATAAAAAATGTTATTCTTTATATAAACTAAAATATTGTATTAAGAACTATAGCTTTAAAATTAATATTTAAA